TGGAAAGGCTCAGACAATATGTCAGTTGTTGCTGGTGCAGGCTCTGGGATCAGTTCCATCTAGGCTGGAACCTGAATTGCATCACTGAGTATCTACTGCCTCCATTTCTTCATCCAAAAATGGAAATCATAATAGGTCCCATCTCATAAAGTTGTCTGAAGGATTAAGTGAGACTGAGTATTTAAAGCACTAGCTACTCCGTCATGTTTGGGGCACAGAGTAAACACCCAAATAACAGTAGCAACAACGAGGATGCGTCCTACTACAGATACAGGTGAAACACACACACACACACACACACACACACACACACACACACACACGACACACTCCTCAAAAAGGTTTCTCCAGGTTGTGGTCTTGAGTTCTTAAATCAGCAACACATTTCTTTCCATTATCAGTAAACAAGTTTTTAAAATCTCTTTCTTTATCCCACAGCAATCAGAAAAAGACAAAATTAAAAGTGAAAAATGTAGTCACTGTACCAGTTGTTTTGTCTACATGACAGGCTAATCAAGTATGTGGTAGTTTCCCTTTCTGAGGTATGAGCTATAAGCTCATAGGACTATAGCTTCTAGATTGTTCCAGAGATGGCCATTTTATTGGGCTTTTACGATTCTGAAATTGTTAAATATGTGCAGATTTTTCACGCAAGAAATAGTCTCAGCTAAGAATAATGGGCATGAAATAAAGGTTCAGCACATTAAAACCGTTCCTATTCAACAATAATGAGCATGTTTAAATACGATATAATTTTTATCCATCTACAAAACGCTTAAATGTTTGGAATCTCGTTTATGTCTATAATGACAGATTCATATTTGAGGCAGTCGTTTTCAATCTTGATTTGTATATTTTAAAGTTGTTAAATGCTTGACTGAATCATTAGCAAAACAATTCATGTATCATTAAACTGATTTCTAACGTGAGATAATTTTCTTCCTTGTCCAATAGACGTGCCTTCTAAGATTTACGGGGACAGCATTTATCTTTGGGGGTTTCAGTGGGTGTGGAGGAGACCTCGTCACTAGCTAATTTCACCACCTTGAGTCTCGTCCTCCCATATACTCCCTTAAGAAACTCAAGCCCAAGTGGTTTGCTGAATGAATGCTCAAACAAGCCGGAGAATGCATATTGTACCAGCAAAAAAAAGACCACTGACTGTCTCCCTTGCAGTGGAAAACAAACAGAGGGGGAGGGGGAAAGATAAATGGCTGGAGGTAGAGAAAGAGAAATCCTGGCAACCTGGAGGCGCCGCCCCGCCCCCTCCACATTCCTGCCACCCCCAGGTAGACCAAGGTTGCGTTCCCTGTCTCTCCCCGACCTTCCCATCCATAAACAGGCCTCTTCCACTCTTCCGGAGGATTGCAGCGCAGGAGGCCTCCAAGATCTGTGTGCGCAGAGCAGGGGGAAGCAGCCGGGCTGCTGCAGTGCATGGGCCATGCCCAGCTGGAGCTGAAACAGTTCACTTTTGTCTGGAGAGCAGGGTCCCCGCCCCCCATGGCTGAGGGAAACTGGGGAAAGCGGGGCTGCTGGGGCAGCCCCGGGGGAGGAGAAGCCTGGCCCGCACATGGCCCCTTCCCAGCCTGGACGGCCCCACACAGACCTTTGAACTTTCTATTTATATAACAGTTTAGTGAGTTTAAGTCTCTTCCTGTATAACTGCCCGTTTGCAAGCTCGCCTCTAATTAGGCTACTTGTGAGACACCACATAAAAACTACAAACCATGGATGCCGGCCTCCGTCCTTCGCTGTGAGAAGTCGGCCACTGTCACAATGGCTTAACTACAATTTTCACCAGGCTTTTGAACATTGTGATTTTGCTATCACAGTGGTTTCCTTTTCCCTTTTTATTTTTTAGAATGAGCCCTTTGCTGTATCTATCTTCCCTTCTTTCCTTCTTTCTTTTTCAATAATAAAAAGAAGATAAGTAAGCATCTCTACAAAAAACCTCGGCCTGTCACGAAGCAACACCTAATCAATACGGGAGGGGTGCTTGCAGGGTGGAAAGGCTGTGCACTTGGTAGGCCCTCGGATTTTGCTGGTAAACAAGTCCAAATCTAGCCACGTGATCTCCAGACACCTCAAGAATTCATTTACTGGGTTACCACAGACAAGTCTACGGAGTGATTTCAATGATAAAATTTGATTTTTTTCCCTTTACCTTTTTTTCTTTTTTTTAAGAGCAAGTGGTGTCTTTGGTGCACACAGCCATCTGCGCCTTCCTCTTCTTTCACAGAACGGTTCATATTAAACTCAGACACAGGTGAACATTGCTCATTCACCCAGGAATCTTGAAGAACGAGAGCTCTGGCCCTTTAATCGACTCCAGAGCATGACCCATTAAGAGATTCTTGCGGTGTGTGAAGTCCAGGGCTCTGTTCCGTTAGGCACCGAGCACTCCCAGACTCGGCACATCCACACTGCAGTCACCCGTGCCCCATCCTTTCCATTTGCATTCCTCCTGACAAATGTGTATGTCTCTAAATGGGCACGCACTTTTTGCTTACTGTAGTCTAGTGTTTGCAAATGACACAGATGCCTGTGTCTGTAAAGTCTTTCTTCATTAAGTCTTGGAAGATGAGTTTGTTTTTTAGCTGGCCTGATCCAGTTATTGTCAGACATCTAGGGTTGCGGTAGAGATGGCTCAGAGCTCTCTGTTCCACAAGTGACTGCTGAGAAGAGATCCAATGGAAATGAGATCCTTAACTTGGCTGGCGCCTTTTTCTTCCTAGGACCTCCTGGGGAGTTAGGGGTGGGGAGCAATGGATGCCATCAGTCTAAGCAACTACTTGCTCCCCAGGAGGGGAAGTAAACATATAATGAACATGTAATTGGCATGCTCTGAATGTCCAAAGAGAGTTTGGAAAGGTACACACTCCCATTCAAGGCAATAGCAAGCTTTTTAGTTCATCCACTATTCACATTGATGTTCCTTTTCTCTGTCGGGGTGTACAACACACAGGCGCACAACCGCATTACAAATGTTTACAAACACAGATGCACAAGGAAGCTTGCCCCTCACGATCAAACAGTAAGAAGGAGAAATTTTCCTGGAACGTGTGCACAGAGGGAAAAGGCCAGCTTATTTATGCAGACGCGTTATACTAATTCATCGGTATTTCACATAATATCCACGGAGTGTCCAAGTCTGCATGTTTCTTAACTGATGTGGCACAGTCAGGGATAGTTTCCAAAAAGGGACAAAAAGAAATCACAACTAAAAGAGCCCACCTCCTTTAAATATGCAACTGCATGTGCCTAAGATTAAACTGAAATTAAAACAATATAATAAACATGTTTTTAAAAACCTAATACCTTGTATATATGTTTAACATTTGAACTACACCCACAAAATCACTTATAACGTCTGTTAAATTAATGATGTTACCCACACCATGTATTAGGCAAATTGTATGCAAATAGTAATGCTGTGGTTATCAGTGGTGTGCAAAATAAACTAGCAAAGCAGGGTAAAGGCCGTATACAGGAGCGTAATATTTAACTGAGCAGTAATTTTACCGTGATCTTTACTTTTAAATAACAACAGCATGGTTGTTAAAAACTGTAACCTGTTTTTCTGCAGAGCTGATAAAACCCTGCATGGTATCAAAAATGCCTTACAGATTAATACTGATACAGTGTAATTTGTGGCTTCAAGGATTTACCCGGAATCGCTGTAAAATAAAATGTATTTAACTTCTGATTTTCTTGGATTTGCAACTAAAGGAGTCATGATTGACATGATGAAGCTATTGGCTAAGAGTATGACCCTTTTCTAAAGAAGGAGATTGCCTAAAATATCACATCAGCAAAGGGAAATCCTTGTTAAAATACACAGCATTCATCGTCAACGGCTGCCAGTACTTTAACATTGCAAAAGATTTCGCACTGTCGGTCGCTACTATACATTATTCCAACTACATTTGAAAAGGCAATAGCCAAGAGTGCAATTCGAAGTCGCTGCCGCCGCGCCTTCCCCCCGTCTAATTCCATAGGCTGTGGGGGGAAATCGATACGTTAGAATGTTATGACAAATTAACAGTGATAACGTTGGTGCAGGAGGTGAAGCTTCTGTAAAAGTTAATAGATACGCATATCTATTTATACACACGCGCGCGCGCATCACGCAGACTAACAACTTTCCGGCTCCCCAGTCACCTCTGCACCATCTTTCACAAACCTCTCGGGGACAAGCTGACGGTATTTGGGGAAGAGCCGACGAAACCTGTGAATCCGAGCTGGGTGCCCATTCAACCCACAAACCTGCGGCTGCCTCCCAGTGGGGGGCGGACGGGGGCCCGGCCGCTAATTAAATGTGCGTTGACGTCGGAGCGGCCAACTTTAGGGGCCAACTTCAAAAACCCTCAGTCTGGAAAGCCAGACGCCGCGGTCGGCCCGGACCGGGTGTCCCCCGCTCGGTGGCCCCCGAAGCCGCCGCTCGGCGCCCGAGTGCGGGGAACTTGGGCCGAGCGGGTGGCAGGGAAGGTGTGCGCGCCGCGCCGTGCGGGGACCGGGGTGGCGGCGGGGGCGGTGGCCGCCGAGGAAGCGGAGGGCCGCCGGTGGCACCTCGCCGCTGCCTGCCCCCCGCGGCCGGCCGCCGGCGTCGGGCACCTGGAAAGTTGGGGGCATTTCGGGCGGGCAGCATCCGGTGCGCTGGGAAGGCCACCCGGCCAGCCGTTCGGGGAGAAAATCCCGGCGGAGGTCGCGCGCCTCAGCCCCCGGGCAGCACCGGATCCGATTTGGGCCAGACGCAACTCTTTGGACTTGGAGTGTCAAACGACGCCCTCGGGACCTGCATCCCTCCCTCGGTCCGCACCTCCCCCCACCCGGGCACCCGACCGAGGAGTCGCGGCGGCCGGGGCCAGAGGTGGCCAAGAGCAAGTGGGAAGGCGTCCCGGGCGCCCCACCAAACCCCGGCTCCTCTTAACAAAGGCGAAAAGCCCAGCCCCGGCCCAGGGACCCGCGCAGCCAAGGAGAAGGCAAAAATCAACACCTACCACTGCTGCTCCAAGTCCCAGTCCCTGAAAAAGTCGAATAGATCCATAGCGGCCGGGCGGCTGCGGCGGCCGGGCGTCCGTCCCTGCTGGCGACGGGTCTGCGCGGCTCTCGGCGCGGCTCGCTCGCTGCTCTCCGGCCCTCCCGCCCGGCTAAAAGTGCCCGGGCCGCATCGGCGGCGGCGGCGGGCGCCGGAGGTGCCGGGTCCTGCGCTCTGGGGCGGCGACGGCGGCGGCGGCACCGGGCGGGCAAGTGCCTGGCCGCCCGCTCGGCTCCGCTCGGTCCGCGGCTGCCCGCGCGCCCAGCGCCCCGACGCTGCGGCGGCAGC